CAGTAGAGGACGCGATGACGTCACAGGCCAGCGTGCTCCATGTTTACGGAAGTGTAGTGATGGCATCGCATCTAGCGGTCTTTTCCAACCATAAAACCATAAAAACTCATTCTTTCAATATGTTTAAACATAAATACTGCTCTCCGAATCATCATCTGGCATGGTAGTTGTTTTTCTTGCCGCTTCTGCGTAGCAAGACACATAATAGTGACCTATGTCGGGTATTAGTGATGAATCCGACCTGGCCGTTCAGACACAGGTCGCAATTTGAAAAGATCAGATTCGTATTGGATTCAGGACCACATAGCCAAGTGGCCTGGGTCGGATTGAAAAATGGGATCTGTGTTGTTCAGACTGCCATGAAAAGATCAAATCCAGGTCGCATATGGGCCAAAAAATCGGATTTGGGTCACTTCAGGCTGCAGTGTGAACGTAGCCTAAAGAAATGCAAAACTGCATAAAAATAACACAAAATAGAAAAGAAACGAATAAACAAGAAAACACAGAACAACATAAATCAAAGTGGAACTGAAAACTGAAAAGGAACTCAAACAGCAGTCCACAAGAGGAGAACCCTAACAGAATGGAAGGGAGACAAGCATCTCTCAAAGTATATTAGATTTTGGTGGGGTTTTTTTATTTTGTTTTTTTATTTGACAAAAAGAAAATTTGAGTTATTAATGTTCCTCTCAAATAAACCTATATAGTCATTGTTGCCGTCATAATTCTTTGACTGCTGGGAGGCCTCCTGCCTCCCCCCAACTCATATTACGGTAAGTGATAAACTCCAAGTATCAGCCGGGCTCCTTTCAATCACCCTAATCTTGAGCTCTCTCAACAGATTCTGTTGAGACACTGGCTGGCACAAATACGTCAGGGGTATGAATACATTTGGTATTTGCGGTACCTTACGTTTTTTAGGTTATTTAGTTTTTTTGTTTTTGATAATAAACAGGTTCTTGTTATTCTTAGGGGAAAATCTGATGCAATAAATATCCGCCGTGCCAGCATTCAGGGTCCACACAATGCTAAGGAAAGCAAAACAAATTAATAAAGTTTAAACGAGAGAGAACTTCAGTCCGATTTGAATGGAGCTGGCATAAAACCAGCAGAGGTGGCACGCAGCTCTACTTGGTGAAGAATTGGGTTTCTCATTTTAGGAAAAAAAAAGAAAAGAAGAAAACTTTGCAAGCCTCTTGTTGCTATGGATTCATTTGCAATAAATGCTACTGAACCAGATGTGAAGAAAGGCTGTGCTGAAGGAGATCCATGCAGCTGTATATCTCAATTTACCCTTGAAATGTGAGTTTTTTATTCACACTCCAAGTAGGTTTACAGTGAAATAATGTGATACAAAGAATGAAGATGAGTAAAAGCTGTGGGTCTGTTTTTCATCCAAAGACCCTGGGGAGCTTGTTAAGTTGCATGGCATCATACATTGTTTGAAATACCAAGAATTTTACCTAAGTAAAAAATAAAAAACACTGTTGGACATGAAGTCTCAGGGGAAAACAATAAATGAGTTGTCACTGGGTGTTTTAGCAGAATGATCCAAAGCATATGGCCAAATCAACTCAGAAATGTTTCACTAGAAAATAAAATTAACCTTGTTTCATGGCCAGTTCAATCCCCAGATGTAAATCCTATAGCAAAGCAGAGCAGGAAGTTAGAATAGACTGTAAGACAAGATCTAAGGCAGACTGTTTCTTACTCTGTATTTGCTAAAAACCTGCAAAAGGTGTCACAGGAAAACACTAAGTAGAGTCCTATCGGCAAAAATGTGGTTATAGAGAAGATTAGACACAGTAATTAGAAAAAAATATATTTTCAAGGTTGAATACTTTAAATGTATGACTGTAATTGTGCATTTATTTATATTGACAGGTTTAAAAAACATATCTAATATCTATCTCAGTTTTGCTCTCTCATTTTAGTTTACTGGAAGACGCAGCTTCTTTTCAAGCATATAAAAAATCTGGCAAAATATCTTATTTTAGAATGAGTCCATTTGAAATTCCTGTGGGACTGTAACCATTAAAACTATGACAAATAAAACCCTCTCTGGTTTGGTTTGTTTACTGTTTGGATCAGAGAGGAATTTATACATGGGAAAAGATGTCAGAAAAAAAATGCCTTTAAACGGTGTGAAAACGAAATACAAAGCGATATATCATTATAGGGAAATGGGTGTCATAATGTTTGAATTAATTGGTGTAAATGTGAATTATTCTTTTACAAAACATTTGTCTTTCAGTTTCTTCCTGACCGTAAAATTTCCCTAGACCCGTCTGTATTCATTTCAGCATGCCCGATGACAAAATATTACCATTGTGTTGGTGTTGTTTTACTGGCGCTGAATAACTTTAGAATTTTCCCTCTATCATCACATATATTTCAGAATGACATAAACATTTAGGAAAACGGGCTGCTTCATGCTTTTTTTACATGTGTACCGCAGACCCATGTTGGCAAAGTGTTTTGCCCCTTTTGAACTAACAAAACATCTAATTCCATTCCCAGTGTAATAAAAGGGTACTTGGACAGGAATATAAACATTTCGCTAAAGTTGAACCAGATGCTGCTGAATGGCCCAGTGCAGGCTTGACTGCAGGGAGAGTTAGGAGACAGAAAAACAAGGGGGTTACTATAGGAAAGTGAGTCGGTGCTCAGTCTTCACTGTATCAAAATAAAAAATCTTCATCTCCTTCATTCCTTTGATGCCTAGTCCAGAAAGAAGGGACATCCCTGAGAAGACATGACAGGAAAGCTAACCAGGCTGGATTTGATATACAGCAGCGTCTTGCATGATGCCTTCTGGAGATTTGGTTCATATTTTGTCACGTTACATTTCCATAAATATTTTTGAAATTGTATAACTTGATAAAATTGGAGGTTTGTCAAGATAAGAAATCAAAATTTTAGAGGAAATAAAAGCTTAAGCTCATGCAGAGTAAATGAATGCAAATTCAGTTGAATTCAGTTTACCTATA